GTTGGTGTGTCAGCTCAGGTCCTCCCTCTTTAAAGATTTCAGCAGGGATCCCGTCTGGTCCACTGGCTTTGTAATTTTTCTGTTGGCTGATGGCATTGCTGACTTCTTCCAAACTGGGCAGTGCTGCAAGCTCATCCCTGGTTTGTTGTTGTGGGATTTGTGAGAGGACCTCTTCGGCCACATTGGAGCTGCGGTTCAGGAGGCTTTGGTAGTGTTCTTTCCAACGTAGTGCAATTGAGTTTTGGTCCTTCAGGAGTTTGGATCCATCTGATGAGCGTAGAGGCTGTATGCCATGGTTTCTTGGTCCGTAGATGACCTTTGTGGCCTTGAAAAATCCCTGAGCATTATGGGTATCTGCCAGGTGTTGGATTTCTTCGGCCTTCTTTGTCCACCAGATGTTCTTGAGTTCTCTTGGACCTTTGGACCTCAGCTTTTGCACTGGCATAGATCTTTTTCTTAGCTGCACAGTTGATGTCTCTCTGCCATGCTTGGAAGGCTTTCCTTTTCTTGTCAATTAGCTGTTGGATCTCGATGTCATTTTCATCAAACCAGTCTTGATGTTTCTTGGCTTGGTATCCAATAGTTTCTTCGCAGGCTTGGATGATGGAGGTCTTCAGTTTGTTCCAATGTTCCTCAACATTTTCGGGGTGTACTGTGGGTAGATGGTCCTTGAGTGCTGTTTGGAGATGGGCTTGTCTGGAGGGCTTCTGAAGGGCTTGGGTGTTCATTTTGCGCCTTGTCTTCCTTCCTTGGAGTCTGCGCTTGGGAAGGATCTTGATAGCCATCGAGGATCGAATTAGCCTGTGGTCAGTCCAGCAGTCGTCAGCACCTGTCATGGCTCTTGTGAGGAGCACGTCACGGCGGTCTCTGGCACGTGTGATTACATAGTCTAAGAGGTGCCAATGCTTTGACCGGGGGTGCTTCCATGATGTCTTGAACTTGTTTTTCTGGCGGAAGAGCGTGTTGGTGATGACAAGGTTGTGCTCCGCACATTTGGTGAGAAGCAGGATGCCATTTGAGTTGCTGTTTCCAACCCCGTCTTTTCCTATGGTCCCTGGCCACAGGTCGAAGTCTCGGCCGACTCTTGCCGTGAAGTCCCCCAGGAGGATGATTTTGTCCTCCTTAGGTATCCCCGATAGGACGGTGTCCAGCTGACAGTAGNTGTTGGTGATGACAAAGTTGTGTTCCACACATTTGGTGAGAAGCAGGATGCCATTCGAGTTGCTGTTTCCTATGGTCCCTGGCCACAGGTCAAGGTCTCGCCCGACTCTTGCATTGAAGTCCCCCAGGAGGATGATTTTGTCCTCCTTAGGTATCCCCGATAGGACGGTGTCCAGCTGACAGTAAACATTTTCCTTGATATCTTCGTCAGCATCTAGTGTTGGTGCATAGGCACTTATGATGGCTGCCCGTTGGTTTTTGGCAAGATCGATTCGGAGGGTTGAGAGTCGTTCGTTGATGCCAGTGGGTGCTTCGGTCAGATGCTTCACCAGATCATTTCTGATAGCAAAGCCAACTCTGTGCATTATTTGGTCTTCTTCAGGCAGTCCCTTCCAGAAGAAGGTGTAGCCTTCTTTTTCTTCCTTCCGCTGTCCCTCTCCTGATCTCCGGGTCTCCTGAAGGGCTGCTATGTCGATGTTGAAGCATCCCAACTGCCTTGCAATGATGGCAGTTCTGCGTTCGGGGCGTTCACTGTCACTGTTGTCCATCAGTGGCCATACGTTCCATGTACCGAAGTTCATTTTTCTTTTTTGGCTGCAGGGTGGTGACTCCATTGGACGCAGTAGTCCAGTCAGGGATAAGAGAGGCAGACTATGTTTAGGGCACCTTCTCTAGCCCCCTCCTTCCCCGTGTGGGGTGAGCAGAGTGGGTCCTCAAAAGGGCTGCTCAGTTGTGGATACAGCTGTGGATATAGTCGTGGATACTCAACTGCCTCGGACCTTGAGGTAGAACGACTGAGTCCGTACCCACCGCCCATGTGCCAGTCTGTGACTAGGGGCTTCCAGATTTCACAGTCCTGCCCCCGTCGCCACTCGCTGATCGCCATGGGACTTTGGTTGGTTTGTTTTTATTTTCTTTGGAAGACGCCTGTGCGTGAGTTTTTTTGTTAAAGTGTGGAGGTCAGTGCACAACTGATCAACACACAGTCTTCACAGAGTGAGGTTCCACTGGTGGTGTAGTTTAACACAATGACCATGGCTTCTCAGTCTGTTGCAGCCTTCCTCCGCCTTCACACCGTTGTAACATGTACCATGTTATCCTCCGCCTGCTCCGCCGTTGAGGTCTTTGGGTCTTTGGACTGTGCTTGGTCTGGAACTTCCCTCGCGGCCACTCCTGGGAGTGCACGACTCCAGTTGTTGTGCCCGCAGATTCATTGGAACACACAAACCCCCTCACCACGACAAGTACAGAGATATAGAATGCAAAGATACAGAATGGGGGACAATGCCTGGCTAGAGAGCAGTACGTGGAAAAAGATCTTGGACTCCTCGTGGACAACAAGTTAAACATGAGCCAGGAATGTGATGTGNACCAGTTGTTGTGCCTACAGGTTCATTGGAACACGCAAGCCCCCTCACCACGACAAGGTGACAGTCCATCGATTTGTACCCACCATTTCCCCAAAGGGACTCAGGGCAGCTCACAGAAGCATTCCAAGTGCCACACGTAGACAATACATAAGCACAACCCCCAGCTCCTTCAAGGTCAAGCCAGTCACTTCAAGGATGAAAATCATAAAATTCCTAAAAAGCAGTGAAACAATGTACTATACCGTTTCCCATTAACTGTAAACTTGAGTCCTTAAAAGTGGGGTTGCTCTAAAAAATATGTAAATGTTCTCAAGTCCACTCAGATCAAGGGGAATGGTACCTATCCTGCAGCAAGCATGTGTTGAATGGAATTGGTAGATTTTTCACCATCGTTGATGAAATGCTAAAGAATCCCATGCAGGCAGTCATTATCCGTCTTCAAATGGCTCATAGTTAAGAATGGGGGTGAGACAACAGGAAGTGAGAAAGAATCTACCCCCCAGAAGGGAAATTCACCCCTAAAAGAGTTATAATGGGGGGAAAGTGTTTCAATGGAAGCTTTCCCATGAATCCTTGTTTCCAAAAGAAGCCAAATTTTACAAAATCTAATAATCACAGGGACAGAAAATGAAGTGAAATCTTCTGAACGGGGTCACAGACAGCAAAACGAACTCTACAGAGGTTATCCAAATCTTACATATGTCTGTGTCTGGGTGGCTGGAGTTACACTTAAAAATGTACCTGTTCCAACTTGCAAACAAATTCAGCTTAAGAACAAACCTACAGAACCTGTCTTGTTCATAACTTTACAGTATGTGTTGGATTTCTGCCTGTCAAGCAGCTCCTAAAAACAAGAAACCCACAGAAGAAAACCTGACATGATATGGCAGTTTTACTGTGGGAATATTGACAGTACAGTAAATATTGGCAACTATTAGTTGTTGGCAACAGAAGCCACCTTTTATAGTCACTGCTCAGAGACTCGGCCTAGTTATTTTGCTGCCTGAGGGAAAAGACAAGAGGACACCACCCCTATTCCGTGTACAAAAGCAAGAAGGAATTGTTACACCTTAAACTGGCAATAGGAAGCATACCTACACAACTCTGCCTTCTAAGTCAAGGGAATGTCTGAACAGGGAGAGTAAGGAGACTCCAGCAAAATAGTTAGCAAACTACCACTACATTGCCTTCCATTGTCTCACTCTGACCAATGGTGCCATCAGCCTTGGAGCTGTTGCATCAAGAAAAGGGAAACTCTGCAACTCTCAACTATAGGCTCAAACAAAAAGGTTCATTGGTGTTGCTGGAACCTAGATGCAAATAAATGTTCATTATAACTGTAGCTTCAACAGGTGCAATCTGTTTCATGACTGTGTCTTCCAAGATGGGTCATACATCCAGAGAGCCATGATTCTCACTGACGATGGATCTAGACCAAATTAGGCACACAGAACTGCCCTTAACCAACAGAAGAGGTGAGTGATTGACCCAGCATGATGGGAGATGCAGTCCCCCCACATCCAAAAAGCACTGTGAGACCCATCAGTGATGGATCTGGACCAAGCTTGGCACACAGACCCTCCCATGACTAATTGTAAATAATGGTAGGGTTTTTTGGGGGGTGGGAGGGGGTGTAATGGCAGAGGATGATGGGTGTTGCACTCTACCACATCCAGAGAGTCCTGTGAAAGTTTCTAATGATGGATCTAGACCAAACATGGCATACGTACCTAATTTTGCATACTGCAGGGGATTGGGGCAATGACAGAGGATGATGGGAGTTATAGTTTACCTCCATCCTCTTGCATGTTCTGATGTGATCATTCATAAAATCCAAAAGCAAACAATATTTTGAATGTTTGTCCTTGCAAAATCTCTAACCTGGGCATCACCAGGTACTTCATTGAATCATAGAATAATAGAGATGGGAGAGACTACATGGGTCATCTAGTCCAACCCCATGCCATGCAGGAATAGCACAATCAAGGTATTTAAGCTAGTGCTATATAAAAGTTGCTAATTCTTTAAGGCACCACAAGACTGCGTTTTGATTAAGGAACAAAGATGAAACAGAAGCAAAATTGTATATTTCTCTGGCAGGTATGTTTTTGTCTTCAGATTCTTCAGCTATCATGACAACATGATTCAATAATCAGGCATAAAACTACAAACAGCTTTATTGAAAACAGGTAAGTTATCTTATAACTTGATACATTCAAATGGCATGGAGAATGAAACCTCTCTGCCCGGGCTTTGCATGCTCTGCTTTCACCCAACCATGGAACGTTTCCGTCCTCTCAGCCGAACTTCGTCCAGTTTTTTAATCACCGGGGCCGATTTCTTTGAGGCCGCTGTGTACTTCTTCAGGAGGGCTTCAAACAGGGCTTCTGTGTTTGGATGGGTGCTCAGAAAGGCCTTCTCCAAGACATACAAATCAACGCCCTTGTCCTCAGGAAGGGCAGAAATAAAGCTCAGTCCCAAATCTATCAAGACGAGATCTAGTTTCTCTGCCGGTGGTCGCAAAAGCATGTTTGAAGTCGTGAGATCTCCGTGGACGAGGTCTTCGTCATGCATCCGTGCTAAAATGTCACCTATTTTCTCTGCTAACACAGTAAGGCTACTGGAACATTTCCCAGACTGCTGTTCGGAGAGGATATAGTCCCGGACTGTGGTTGATCCCACAATGTCTTCAAGGTAGATGCAGTTGGAAACATAATCTACAAAATACACAACAGGTGCAGAAATCCCTAAAAAGAGAGAGAGAGATTCATAAATGACTAGTCCCTAGAATTGTGTTGTGCATCATTTATTTATTTATTTATTTATTTACGGCATTTATATGCCACCCTTCTCACCCCGAAGGGGGCTCAGAGGGGCTTACAAGATATATATATATATATATATATATATATATATATATATATATATATACACACACACACACACACACATATACATACATACAATATATTATATTATTAGCATAGTACAATATCAGTATTAAATATTACTATATGGTACTATACCATTATATTGTATTATTATGAGTAACATTACATGTCATATAAATATATTATATCATATTATTAGTATTATATTGCATTACATTATAATATTATCAATATTATATGTATATACAATATATTATATTACACTACTAGCCGTCCCCTGCCACGTGGTGCTGTGGCCCACATGGGGGTTCTATATGGGGAGGTTTGGCCCAATTCTATCATTGGTGGGATTCAGAATGCTCTGTGATTTTAGGTGAACTATAAATCCCGGCAACCGCAACTCCCAAATGTAAAGATTCTATTTTCCCAAACTCTACCAGTGCTCACATTTGAACATATTGAGTATTTGTGTAGAGTTTGGTCCAGATCCATCACTGTTTGAGTCCACAGTGATGTCGGGATGTAGGTGAACTACAACTCCAAAACCAAAGGACACTGCCCACCAAACCCTTTCAATATTAGGTTCTTGTGGGTTTTTTCGGGCTATATGGGCATGTTCTAGAGGCATTTTTCCTGACGTTTCGCCTGCATCTATGGCAAGCATCCTCAGAGGTAGTGAGGTCTGTTGGAATTAGGAAAATGGGTTTATATATCTGTGGAATCACCTAGCCCCAGCAGAGAAGAGCTCTTTGCCCCACCCCAGTCATTCCACAGATATACAGCCATGAAAGCCTTCCACAACCTTCCAATATTTTCTGTTGATCATGGGAGTTCTGTGTGCCAAGTTTGGTTCAATTCCATCGTTGGTGGGGTTCAGAATGCTCTTTGATTGTAGGTGAACTATAAATCCCAGCTACTACAACTCCCAAATGACAAAATCAATTTTTTTGAGTGAAGGACATACATTGGGTTGTTAGGTGTCTTGTGTCCAAATTTGGTGCCAATTCGTCCAGTGGTTTTTGAGTTCTGCTAATCCCACAAACGAACATTACATTTTTATTTAGATAGATAGATAGAAGATAGAATATTAGGATATTTGCTCAAGCCCCGCCCCTGAAATCAGACCCCGCCCACCCGAGCCGAGGCCCCGCCCCCGACCTGCTCGTCGGCACCGCAGCAGCGAGCGGGCCTCTTGCGCCGTCCGCTTCCGGCTCAGCCTTTCCTCCAGGAGCGGGTGGCGATAGCGCTTCGGGAAGCGATGCTTTACTACCGCTGGCCGGCCCAGGAAGAGGCCCCGGTAGACCCGGGCTTCCGCCCCCTGCTGAACCAGCTGCAGGCCTTCCATGGGTGGGGGCGCCGCGGCCTCAGGTGTGGGGCTGACCGAGCCTCCGTCTCCCGCTGGACCCGCCATGTTGGCTGAACGAGCCAAACAACTTTCTCTCTTACCACGCATGCGTAGTAGTCAGAACTGCGCTACTGGCGTACATTACGCCACTTGCGCCTGGAGAACCTTTTTTCTTATGTATTGTCGAAGGCTTTCATGGCCGGAATCACTGGGTTGTTGTAGGTTTTTTCGGCCTATATGGCCATGGTCTAGAGGCATTCTCTCCTGACGTTTCGCCTGCATCTATGGCAAGCATCCTCAGAGGTAATGAGGTCTGTTGGAACTAGGAAAAAGGGTTTATATATCTGTGGAATCACCAGGGTGGGACAAAGGACTCTTGTCTGCTGGAACTAGGTGGGAATGTTTCAACTGACCACCTTGATTAGCATATAATGGCCTGACAGTGCCTGGAGCAAACTTTTGTTGAGAGGTGATTAGATGTTCTTGTTTGTTTCCTCTCTGTTGTTGTGCTGTTGTAATTTTAGAGTTTTTTTAATACTGGTAGCCATTACTTTGTTCATTTTCATGGTTTCCTCCTTTTCCACATGCTTGTGTGGCTTCTCTGTGTAGCCTGACATGGTGGTTGTGAGAGTGGTCCAGCATTTCTGTGTTCTCATATAAAATGCTGTGGCCAGGTTGGTTCATCAGGTGCTCTGCTATGGCTGATTTCTTGGTCGAAGTAGTCTGCAGTGCCTTTCATGTTCCTTGATTCGTGTTTGGGCACTGCGTTTGGTGGTCTCTATGTACACTTGTCCACAGCTGCATGGTACATGGTAGACTCCTGCAGAAGTGAGAGGATCCCTCTAAAATTACAACAGCACAACAACAGAGAGGAAACAAACAAGTACATCAAATCACTCTCAACAAAAGATTCCCCCCAGGCACTTCCAAGCCATTAAATGCTAATCAAGGTGGTCAATTGAAACACTCACACCTAGCTCCAGCAGACAGAAGTCCTTTGCCCCACCTGGGTCATTCCACAGATATATAAACCCATTTTCCTACTTCCAACAGACCTCACTACCTCTGAGGATGCTTGCCATAGATGCAGGCGAAACGTCAGGAGAAAATGCCTCCAGAACATGGCCATATAGCCCGGAAAAACCTACAACAACCCAGTGATTCCGGCCATGAAAGCCTTCGACAATACATTCAACCTGATTCACTTGCTCTTCTTATATGCTGCATTAAGTATGTGGAGACCTCTGCTGACCAGTTTTAGAAATAACCCAAGAATTTGAGGCAAAACCACTCTCAATAAATCTTACCCAAAAAAACCCATCTGTGATAGATTTATCATAAGCCGGAAACAACTTTTTTAAATCCAGAGATCTGCAAACCTATATGAATGGTTTGGCTATCACGAACTTGTTAAAACCAGAAAATAGTATGAGTGGCTTGGCTAATGCTTAGGCAATCAACCTTTTCCATCCTTTATGTATTAAGAGATTTAAATCACAATTTGGATTGCCAGTCAGTTTCAGGGAAAAGGAAGATCAAAATAGGAAGCAAGTAAATGTATGTGAAAGTGGCTGACAAAAGTTAAAACAGGGAACTACATTTATTGGATAAAAGCTGAAATATAACTGAACAATCAGCAAAAGTAAAAGTTTGATTGTTTTTACAATATAACAGATATATATGCAACATAGCACATCAAAGATCCTTTCTCTATGAGCAGTCCGTGCCCAAAGGCTTGTTGAAACAAAAAAGTCATCACTTGCCTGTGAAAGGATAGCAAGAAGGGCCCCAGTGTAGTCCCTTTAGGAAAGGTTTGGAGCAGTTACTTAAAGGACCTTGTCTCTCATGTTTCTATCAGATACACTGGGGAGGAGGATAGGACACAGAGAACAATCTCCCCACGAGGTCTCAAAACATGTACACAGTCTAACGTACAGTCCTTCAGATAAACTGGACCCGAACTGTATAGGGCTTTATTGGCCCTAGCAAACTCTTTGAAGTAGTGAAATCTTAGGAGTATGATTACTGTGCAGTTAGTATGGGAGGGAGACAGGGATTGGTCTTGGCTGGGCTTTTACTTTTCACATTTTAACATGAGGAATTAATCAAATAGAATGTTCCATTTTGTGAAGCTAAGCAGTTCATTGCTGCAGATCAGACTTTGAGTACTGAGCAAACTAGACATAGTTGTCTAGCTTAATATTTATTGGCTCTGTTTGGCAACAACAAAACACACAACACTTGTAACAGAGATATCACTATTTTATTTGGATGTTATTAAAAAATAACAGCAAAATTGTATTATTCAGAATTGAAATACTACTAAATTAAATGGTATATAAAAATCCTCCTGTCCACCCTGTTCTGTCCACAGATATATAAACACCACTTGCCTAGTTTCCAACAGACCTGACAGCCTTTGATGATGCCTGCCGTAGATGTGGGCAAAACGTCAGGAGAGTATGCTTCTGGAACATGGCCATACAGCCCAAAAAACTCACAGCAACCCAAAAAAGTGATCAATGGTTCCCAATCTTTCATAAAAATGCCCATTGATTTTTCTCTTATCAAAATAGAAAATGTATCAATTGCTGGCTGTTCAAACACTTCTGTGATCCAGTCTTCTTGTGCTGGCGTTTCTATATTCTTTCATTTCTTCATGTATACAAGAGCTTTTGAAGAGAGTTTTTTAAAAACAAACAAAAGACAACAAGCTAAAGGTGCAACTTGTGAAATGTTTCGTTTCTTCATCCACAAAATTAACTTCTATTGTTTTGCTCCAACAGAGACCCGAAAGATTTTCAACATGAATGTCTAGACAAGTGCTTCTCAAGATGTCTGGCTGGAAGAATTTTTCCCCAATGGGCCAGAGACTAGTATCATATTTGTGGTATTGAGTATAGTGGGGGCTTTAAATGCGATTTTCCTGCTTCTTGGCAGGGGGTTGGACTGGATGGCCAGCGAGGTCTCTTCAAACTCTATTATTCTTCCCCCCTCCCACCCCCCCTGAAAAATTCACCATGGACAAAAGCTCTGTTTTATTTAACTTGGCAAAATAGCGCTACCTAAAAGAAACCCATACTTTGTGCGACTGTGGAGCAGAACAGACAACTCTGCTTGCTCATTGTGCCCTGCCTCATGTACAGAGGAGGAATTGTTGGAGGCTACAGAAAATGCCATTGCCTTTGCCCGTTTTTGGTCAAAAGATATTTAGCCACCTGCACACCTTCTATTTTTATCAGTTTTATACTAATTTATGCAATGCTTTTGATATGATATGAAATAAATAAATAAATAAATAAATAAATAAATTTTGTTTATTTACAGTATTTATATTCCACCCTTCTCATCTCGAAGGGGACTTAGGGTGGATCACAATGCACACATACACCGCAAACATTCAATGCCATTTTTAGACATACTAGACACACAGACAGATAGAGGTAATTCAGCATTTTTTCCAGTTTCGGCTCCTGGAGGTTGCCCAATTTCAGCCGCAGGAGGGAGTTGTTGTTTCATCCACTATGATGTTGTAGTATTTCCTCCTTTCTCTTTGATCTCTGGCATTTTTATGGTGTCATAAATTAATCTCCCCTCTTTAAGCTGCCCCTAAAATCTCTACTTATAGCTCATCTGTTTTTGAACTGCTTAGGTGAACAGTAAGCTGGGCTATTAACAGTCAAACCTGACTCAGGCTTCAAACTTGCCACCTTTCGGTCAGCAGTGATTTACCGCTGCTAGTGATTAACCAGCTGTGCTACAGCCTGACCCTTTTCCAGGGATCATGACAGATCCTTGTTATTGTGACACTGTATATCTCAGCAATAAAATGGACAAAATGGATTGCTTGGACTTCTATCCTTCATTGGCATTTTGACCCTCTACCACTTCTCAGTCTGACTTTCAACACTTGATTTCTTGCTACCATGCAACATTATTTTAGATTCTTTGCTCAGATTCAAGCAAGGTTTGGTGCAGGGAGCTGAGGAGCTGGGGCTACTTATTAAGAAAAACAAGCCTAAAACTAACTTGTGTTTATTGAAGCACTTCCAGGTTCTTAAGATCCTTGCCAATAACAGTAATCACCTTGTCTTAGACATAGATTTCTGGCTTTTTCTTGGCAAAATCCCCATGCCATTCACAAAGAGATGCAGTCAGAGCAGAGTATCCCCTGTTTTATTTAACTTAAGGCTTAAATCAAGCTAGTAATACTCGGGTACCTTGCACTGAGCTTTACTTGTTTTATTTCTGCAGCTATGCAGACAGGAAAAGGTTAATAGTAAAGGAATACGCCATGTCTTTTATGTGCACATGTTTCAAAGCTATATTTGCATTACAAATGATGGAAGATAGCCAGGTGAAAAGAAAGAAGAGTTTATACCTTTAATGACTGTGGACTGTAGAAGCAGGAGCTTTGACACCTGTGGTAGAGACTATTTACAAAGAGATTAAAGCTACATGGTTATTGACAATTGTGAATCTAGAAATTCTGCTCACAGCAAGAGTTTGCAACGTGTCAGGCCTGAGCCTCCCAAACAACATTGCCATTGGTCATTCTGGTTGGGATGTTGGGGAGTTGTAATCTCAAAGACTAAGCTTTCCCAAACTTTGTTGACTGCTTTAGGGCTGATGTGAGTGTTCTGTATATGAACTACAACTTAAGCATTTTCTAACCTCAATTTTTCCATATCTACTTATTATTTGGATATTTAAAGCAGTTTCTACGATTTCTGGGGTTATTTTTTCCCCTCACTTAAGGCAAGGCACACCATTGGGCTTCTTTGTTAAAGCTTTGATAAAACTCCAAGCAAAATGTTCCAGTTTGACAAAATTACTAGACTGGATTCCACAGTCCACAATAAAATCTTATATGAAGATGACAGTAAATAATCTCTTTGCATGCTTTGCATTTTCTGTTTTTTTCCATATGACAAATTCCTTCAAGGTTTGGAGAATCTGTGAGTTTTGTAACCTTTGTGACCTCAAACTATTACACTACGTAACACGATTTTTGTTCTTGGGTTATAAATGTCATTTTCTAATTGGTTCTACCATAAAAGCATAGGAAAAGTTTATTAAACAGCAAAAA